ATATATATATATATAGAGAGAGAGAGAGAGAGAGAGAGAAATATACAAATCAGTGTTGAACACACTGATTTTCATTATCCGACTCTTTGTTCAAACATTAGTTGGATTTCATTGTTCTCATGTAAGTAATGATCACTATTTTTGAAGGTCAACATTAACTCAAATTAAGAGTTTAAAGGAAAAACCCAAATAACGTTGAGACCAAGAGTTATGCCCCTCAGCTCCTCCAAGCACCCATAACCATTACCCCCTTCCTCCTTGTAAATTCCAACCCTCCCCCCCCCCAAATATTTTGTATGACACTCCCCCCTTCACTTCCCATCATTTCCACACCTCCTTCCCCCTCTCTTTGCTTACTATATGTACATTCAATTACAACTCTTCCTTTCCCTTTTCAAAATTCCACCTCAGCTGCTATAGTCAAGCCCAAATTGTCTTTGGGCCCATTTTCCTCTCCCACTCTTAAATGCATTTAGTATTTATAGGAGTTAGCATTTACGAAGTAAAACCCATTTACTCTTTTATCAAGGAAACTGTCATTACTTAGTCTATTAAGAATCTATACATAGAGATGCTCTGCATAATCTAAGAACTACACACTCAAGCTATTTCATCCTATCTCCCTCCAAATTCAACAAGAACTATTCATAAATGTATAAACATGATACCATACAAATTGCTAAACTGAATAGACATAAGAAATTCATAACAGAAACAAAGAAAATAACAAATATGAACAGTAAGTGATACCTAGTTACAACTCTCACCTCAGGATACGATAATCTTAATGCAAAATATGGGGGAATCCCAATTTCATTGACTGCTAAATAAGGATCTGGTGATATGACAGAGCGGCATGCAAAATTAACCCTCTTTCCCATCATTTTCTGGCGAAAGATGCCTTCCTTCTTCTCCAGCAATTGACAAATTCCAGTAGCCACATCTCTCTGGCCTAGACCAAGCAAGAAGAAAAGATAAGTCTATGTACATGTTATCATATATATAAAGTGATCAACAAACTCTCCTAATTAGAATCTTCATTTCAATAACATATTGTTGCCTTTAAACTTCCTTGAGGATTACCTTACATATTATTTTTGTAATGATTTCTTCTTACATTTTATTTTTGTAATGATTTCTTCTTACATTTTATTTTTGTAACGATTTCTTCTTTCATTTTATTTTTGTAATGATTTCTTCCTCTGTTATTATCATACTTCTTCCATCATAACAGAAAAAAGAAAAAAAGATCCTCTTACAAACATTTTATCACAATTAAAAACATAAGATTAATTTCATTTTCATTTGCTTTATTATCTATTGATATTGGTCAATTCTTTTATTGACAAATTACAACCAACCCAAAGTCCCAAATGCACTCAGTTCCACATTACCATTTCAACAGGGTAAAGAAAATGAAACCAGAAGAAACTCTTACCAGAAGCAGTTTTATTGTCAAATAGCACGTTTACAGATTGCTGAAGATCCATCCACCGGCTTAGAACCTTTGACGGATCTGACTTATTTAGGTGGGCATCTCCTAAGGATATGTTGCATTGTAAAACCTTAATCAACAAAACAGTTTGAGGATGTTCCATCACCTACAAAAGCATTGACTACTCAAAACATGTAGGATCAAATAATGGCCAAACTTTCACAAAACAATAAATAAAATATAAAACAATAGCCACAGTTCTAATTTCTTCAACAACCATGCTTCGATGGGTTCAACTACATGGATAAATTGGCAGATTGGGGGAAGCCAACTTCTCAACAAACCCATTTATAATAACAACTTTAAAAATAGTATTGCTTAAAATTTCCTAATGCTTCCTCTACCCCTTTTAATCATACTATCTTCCATTTTATCCTCTTTTTTCATTGGGGCCTTCACAGGCCTTCTTGTGACAAGACAAACCACCCTAGGTGAGTTTCTGTCATCTTTTATTAAATAGGTGTTAGCCTAAATTTCTCATAGATATATTTGTAATCATCCATAATCATATCCTTCCCTGTATGCCCACTAATTCTCAGCTACATTTCATCTTCACTACACTATTTTTCATCCTATCTTTTCTTCACTGCACTCAACTATACCATTAAGCAATCCAAGCAAATTATAGGATCTATAATCATTTCTTCTTCAATTAAAGTTGGTTATTCTGTTGGGTAAGATGCTGCAGTGGTTTTTCACCAAAGCCCAATAGTATCAACTATGAAGATGATTTGGAAAAAGAAAAAACTTCAGAGTAGTGACCATAGTAAATTATTGAGGATGTAAAGGAATAGAATGTTAAAAATTTAAATGTTTTTTTTCAAAAACTGAAAACTTTCCAAACCATAAACCTCCTGTCCGAATTCATGTCACCATAGGCCACCCGCCAGAGAAGAAAAAAAAAAAAAACTACCTTAAAACAATATATAAACATTCTAAATAAAGAAATATCCATAAAAGTCCATCTCCACAAATAGAAAAGAGTCTACATGTGTTGTATTTTTCCTCATGAGATAATAATCCGAGTCCATGATCACATAATGAAGTTTATTTAACAACATTGTTACATAACCGTCTGATGTTAAAAAGAAATCTATAAATTCATGTCAACAATATCTCTTGATCATACTTACATTATCACCTCCTTTAGTTGGGGGACGGAATTTGATTGGTGGCACAAAAATATTCTCTAGAAAGAACATTGAGTGACCAGCTTTCTTTCCAAACCCCTGATCTTGAATATCACTTATATAAGAACAGAGTCGAGCCTCGTTTTCCCACAAAAGCTCCAAAATATCTTTAACCTGTAATTTGCACAGAATAAATGAAATGATCCAACACATTTTATAGAATTTTTTCAATATCATATTAAACAAGTCATTAACAAAGACAATTTTTATTGAAGTAGAACCAGAAACTAACCTGGGATGGTAACAAAGACCCAGAAAGTTTACTTTGTGCAGCAAGCTTGTAAGACAATTTCCTGCTTTTTCTATTATCTCTTTTTGCAGTCTCAGCAGAGGTAATATCTTCTTCATCTGTAGTATCCCCACCACCTAAAGATATATCATCATTGGCTGTTTCACTTGCCACAGCTCTAACAGTATTTGCTCTAGCTTGATCAGCTGAGAGAACATTCTAGAGCCAACAACCAGAAACCCAAAAGGGAGAAGGGACCGGAAATGAAACAAAAAGTAAGAATTAGACAGTACTGCTAGAAATACTACAAACATGAACCTATGGACATGAAAATCCGTTTGATCAACATAAATACTTCATATGAAAAATGCAATATGCACAGTAGATGATATGAACTTTATGGTATTCAGATTTCAAACTTTACCAAGTCATTACGCAGTTATAGAGCAGCAAGGCACAGCAGCTTTGGTACATTACAGGAATAGCAAATCTAATTGCAAGGATGTAGCTTGCTATTAATAACGATGCTTGGAAACCTTAAGAAAATGGGTTAAGCGCCTAACTCAACCTTACAAAACTAGTTTTTAAGGTGAAAATTGCTCCCCAATTATATATATTATTATGACCTCATCTCTAATTGATGTGAGATCTCCAACAGAAACAAATAGTCATGTACTGAACTTTGAGGTAGCATGGTAGTTGTGGAATGATATATTGAGGTAAGGAGGACAGAGCATACATAATATATTAATATATGTCCACAAAGGTTAGAGGCACACAGCCAACTCAACCCATCCCTTCTATATACATAAATATGTGTGTATACATATTACATATTATAAAAGCATACATACATACATATATATATATATATATATAAACATATATTTATATTATATATTTATAATATCATCAAAGAATATTATAAAGTAATATCTTATCTAAAGAATATAAAGATGTCAAAGCATGCTACTTGAACCTAGTGAAGAAAACAAAATATTTTTTATATTATTGCTATAATTTAATTTCTGAAAATAAACAATGTAACAAGAAAAAAAAAATGAAATTACCATATGAAACCATCCAAAGGTTGGTTTGCTGATTCTAGGATTGATGACTCCACAATTTTGACACTTCCTATATTTCCTAAGCAGAAATTTCCTTAAAACAGACATTGCCTCGCTGAATTGAAGGGAGGTCCAATTATCTCCCAGTTGCTCAGCACAAGAGTGGCTCTCATCACCATCACCTGGATGTATGGATTCATCTTGATTAATAGAATCCAAACTTTTCGCCTTAACAATATCCCCCTTCATTATGAGCTCCAATTGGGACGTACGCAGATCCACCTTGAATCAACATAAGACCATACAAACAAAGGCCAGGAAATTCATAAATATCTTACAAAAAAGCAGTAGTATGGAGAACAAACACATAAAATTACCACATTAACGTAAGTTTACCTCTTGTCTGCTAGCCTGAAAATGATGGCAAGAGAAACAAGTTCTTTGTATGATATTGCTAAGAATATTGAACATCAAAGGGTTGTAAACAGGGGAAACAAGCTCAATATGACCGAAATGACCCGGGCAATTTTTAGAAGTTTGACCACATGACTTACAACTGCAACAAACATAAGATATGCCTCAGTCACCCATCTTAACTTCAAGCCATGTAAATTAAATACAACCTAAAATAAACATCTTCAGGTATAAGAAAACAATCCATTACTACTCCACACAATCCATCTGCACCCAACCAAGTCAAAAACAAACTTCTAGAACCGGGGATTTATAAGACATAAAATCTCACTCCAAAAGACAAAACATCCTCCTCATTAAAAACAACAAAGGCCTTTTATGAGAGATTCTTAATTGATACAAGTATTTGATTCCTAACTCACAAATCAACTATGAACATCTTTTATAAGTTAAAATCAATTTATCCACCTCACCTTTTAAAGAAGTGAAATGAAAGAGCTTCTATAAAAAGTTATGTATAATAGAAGTTAATTTCATCTCAAGAGAAAAGCTCAATTCCTTTTACATTCTTTTTCTCTTCCTTCTGCCCTATAAGCTTATAGAGAAGTTTATTCAAACCAGACCCAAGTCTAATTCATTTTATTTTCTTTCTCATGCATAAAAATTTATCCAAACAAACTCTAAATACTAAATAACATCTTTCAATTCCCTCTTCCATAACAGCTATAAACTCAAGATTTCACAACACTATCACTAAAAACAAACTCAATACGACATAAGAGTCTGTTTGGATACAAACTTCTCTACCAAAAAAAAAAAGCTCTTTATTTTCAGTAAAGAACCTCTCAAATACTCTTCTAAGCTCATACCCAAACAGACTCTAAAAAAGCCTAAAGTAATAGCACTCCCCAAAGTGGTCCACCCTAAATATCAATAGCAACGGCTTGTTTGGGTTAACTTATTCCGTCCTGATAAAAACAAAACAATCTCCCCGTGAAATTTAAGGCGCCCCAAACACGGAAGCAATCAAAGAGTGAGTGAAAATTGACGAGAACAACGCACGTAGACTTCTCATCGAGCGGGCCAAAAGCGGCGTCGTATAATCCAGCAGGCACAGGGTGGAGCAAACTATCGAGCAAAACAGGATTCGTTATCTTCACGCGACTGCTCCTCCGCAACTCGTCGTCCGTTAGAAAACTGAACGCCACCGCCTCGACGGAATTCGTCGCGCCCTGCGAGGTCACGACGGCGTTAGATTTCAGGGAGCAAGAAAAATAAGAGAGATTCAGTTCAGTGGTAGCGAGTGTTGATTGTTACCTCGATTGTGAGCACCATGTTGATGCTGCGAAAGCAAGGCCAAAACGAGTCGAAGGCTTAACGAAGAAGAAGAAGAAGAGGTTTGAAGAGAAGAGAAGGGTTTAATGTTGGTGAGAGAAAGGAGACGCACACAAAGTAGGTTTTTGAGAGGTTTAAGAATACCCATGGAATTTACATCATATTGACCCGACCCGAACCGGCCAGGTCCGGCCCGGTTCGTCATGTTTTGCTTTTTAAATAAAATGATATTTTATTGCGTAATTAGCTGACGTATTCTTTTAATCTTGAATTTTATGGTAAAGATTGATCTTATTATCTTTGAAAAGATTTATTACGATATTTGAATTTTTTATTTGAGATAACTTTATTATCTTTTACGTATTTGAGTTAATATTGATTTTTATTTAAACATGATTCAAAAACAAATTACTGATTAAATAGTGGAATTCGTTTCGATGTGAAAAATTATGAAATTTAATTAATGTTTAAATTAAATAATAATAATAATAATATTTATAATAAAAATCTTTATGAAAAATAAATCTCTTAAATAATAAAAAATAATTTAACATCAGCTTTTTCAAAGTTTTAAATAATTTTTTTTACCAAATACTTGACCCTTTTGATTTAGATATCAATAAAATTACTAGAATTAACCTAGTAGTTGAAAAAAGATTGGAGTAATTAGAAATATGAAGATTTAGGTTCAATTTTGTGACTATTTTTATAATCTTATCTATCTTTATAAAATATATATATATATATATATATATATATATATCAATTATGTTTTGTATTTTTTATTTAAGTAAATTTATAGAGATATTTTCACATCTTAAATTAATAAATAAATAAAAACTATTCAAAACTACGTTTTAAAATAAACAAAAACAATCATGGTTTCAAAGTTGTGTTTTCATAAAATGATATTTTATTTCGTAATTAGTTAATATATTTTAGTCTTGTAATTTATTGTAAAGATTGATTCTTTTTATCTTTAAAAAAATTATTTTCTATTTAAATTTAAGAAAATATTATCCTTTACATATTTGAGTTAATATTATTATTTTAGAATAATGATTATATTTTATTTAAATATAATTTTAAATTATTTGTTTGGAACGATTCAATAGTAAAATTTATTTTTAAATATTTAAAATTATGTTACTCAATCAATCTTATATATTAAACATAAATAATTTTCTCGACAAAAAAAGTTTTAGTGTCTATTTATTTACAAGAATGTTTTTAAAGATTTTAATAATTTCTTATCTAATTCAAATTTTTATTTATTATATTAATTTATAAATTAAATTTTAATATTTTAAAATAAATTATTAATAACTAGAAATAATCTTGTGATACAATATAAATTATTTATTTTAAGGTTACCAAAAATATTATTTATCTTAAACCAAAAATATAATTTATATGTTTAAAAATTTTATTTATACAAATTTTAAATATAATTTAGGCTTAAACGTATTTTTATTCCTCTAGTATTACAATTTTGTATATTTTATCTTTAAGGTTTGAATTAAGTAATTTTAATCTTTCAAGTATGACAATTATATAATTTTTGTCTTCTAAATTTTAATTAAGTAATTTTAGTCTTTCAAGTATCATAATTATATGATTTTAGTTTCTTAACTATCATAACTATAATATTTTTATTTATTTAAGTTACATATATTTTAATTTTCATTCATGTATTAAATGATATATATTTATTATTATTAAAATTATTAATATTTGTAACTAAAATAGGCAAACATTTGTATCTTTCGATACTTAAAAGATTAAAATCATATAGTTGTGGTACGTGAAAGATTGAAATTGCTCAACTAAAAACGGAGAGATCAAAATTATACATCTGTGTTAAAGAGACTAAAATTACTTAATTAAAATTTAAGAAACTAAAATCGCACTATTTATTTTTTAATATAATTAAATATAAATGACTACATTAAAATATACAAATTTTAAACAAATTAAGTAATATGTATGTATTTTTTTATAGCTTTATACGTTATAAATAAATATAGATATTTGCCCAAAAAAATATTAAACATTTAGGAAATATTACTTTAAAGAGATACTTTTACATGAAAGATAATTAACTTATATTATTATAAATTTAAATCAACCTCATATTGTTAAATAATAATTTTTTTTCAAAAAAAAAATACAATTTGATTTAAAAATCACATCATATAAATTTTACATTGATTAAAAATTATTTAATGTTTCATTATTATATATATTTTGTTGTGTTACATTATACACGATCCCTAATAATTAATTACTTATTTATTATTATTATTATTATGAAAATAAGGTTAAATTTTTTGTGATTATTAAAAAGATATTATTATCATAAAACAGAAAAAAAAAAATAAACTTAAATATAAATATGAATTCTTTTACAAACAAATGTAAGAAAATTCATATTGATTACTTTTACTCATACAACATAAAACTTAACTATAGAAGCACATAAATTGTACCTTACCTAAGATTCATAAGTAAAAGTGAGAATGGCTTTTAAGTGTTGTATCTTTGTGTAAGTCTTTATAATCTTCTCAATATTTGTAGTAATGAATAAACCCAAACATTACACTTGACTATTATCTTTGCACATATACATTAAGGATAGGCACCGAAAAGAGAAGTTATTTACATACTAAGAATAAGGATATTTACATATACACTTGGCTCTCAGTGAGTATTATCGACCAACTCCTGACCCGTTGACTTCATTCATTAACGCTAGTATTCTTTACTCAGCCACTTCTGTCTCGTAGTGAGTATTCTTTGACAAGTTTCTCCAGGCTTTACAAGTATTCTTTCCTTAGCCTCTTCAGGCTTTACATATGATAGCTGAACTAGTTTGGTTTGAGTGCTTGGGTTACTCTCATAGAGAGGATACATAAATTTGTACACTCGCTAAGGTCTTCGTTCCTAAGATGCACATGCTTGGAACTCCTTAGTTTACAGAGATGAATGCACTATGGTACATTTGACTTTATACGCTCTATCTTTGGAATCGTTGCTTTGTGGGCTTAATATCAATATTGTTAAAAGAGCAAAGCAAAAAAGCTAGCCTCTTAAGGTTTGAGATAGTGATATATATATATATATATATATATATATATATATATTGTCTTATAGAATTTGCCCGTTGCAAGTGTCCGTTGAAGTAGATATAGTCGTTCATGACTGGTTTGATCTTTCATTTATTGCTCAAGATCTTGCATTAAATGTTACTTCCCGTTTATAGACCTTGCATGAATTTTTCTTTGCCTTGTTAACAGTTGTGTCTGATTTTAGCAGAGACCTAGGAACCTTTTTGTCCTTTTCTAGTCACATAGTTGTAGAGTGTTGTCCTTATATGAAAAAGTGATGTACTTTTTCTAACACATGCATGCTTTTGCTTTTGCGTGCTTTTCTTCTTCATCTTCTCTTCTCTTTGATCACTCGTTTATGTTGAGAGCATTTAGTGATTGTTGACGATGCCTTGATTTGTCTTTGAAGACTTGATTCTCTAATTGCTTGCGTGACAGTCTTCTTCTACGTCTATTAGTCCTGTGCATCTCAATCTTGACCTCTGTTTGAGCATCTGAGTTTAATGCTTTGACTTTTCTTTTGCTCTGGTCATCATTGTGAATGGATAGACTTTGTTTTTGTCTGAAGTGTCTTTCAGTCTGTTCTTTGTCTCATGCTGTCTAATTCCTTATGTTGCACTAGAGGTTGTTCTTGATACTCTTTCATCTGATATTGGACTTTCTTGGGAACATTTTTCTTCTTGTGCTTGGTTTAGCTTCGTCTATGATCTTGTTTTGGCCTTTTAGTTTGATGTCTTCTTTTTCGGTGTATGAAGTGGCTCTTATTTCATTCTTCAGCTTGCCTGTGCTTATGTTTTTCTGAAATACTGACACACTTGTTAGAAATAACAATATGTATTATATTTGTCATATTCAAAACCTCACTTGGAATTGCTTCGTCTTCGTCTAACTTAACAATCTCCCCCTTTTTAATGATGACAAATATAATTGATCAAATAGTTTCAGATAAGCAAATAGACAGAGTAACAAAATCAGTGTTGTGCCTATGTCATAGCGAGTCTACGTATTTGCAACTCTCCCCCTTAGTGTATGCTCTCCCCCTTAGTGAGTATTTGCAACTCTCTTAGCCGTTTTTTATTTAGATATCTTATTACCTTATTTGATTAATTCTATTCGATTTCTCTCCCTTTGTAATCATCAAAAAGAATCACAATAGTAATTGTGAGGGAAAATGACATATCTTTTTAATGCAAATAAGAATTGAATACAATCAGAAGAGTCTTTAAATAATGGAAATAAAAGTACATCGATTGTTCTCTTGACTTAGTTATTCCTACACTAATTTCCTGAATGATCACGAAGATGGAGGTAGTTCCTTGGATAGCTTGGAGGCCATCAAGTCGAACAAGCGATCAAACTTGTTGTCTAGATCTGCTTTAAACTTGTTAAATGTCTCAATGGAGACATATTGTTGTTCAAGTTCAGATGCAGCTGGAAGTCCCTCGAGAGGGGCAGATGCTGAAATTGGCTTAGTAGAGATAGGCTTAAATGATTCAAAATGTGCGATTTCAGAGGTATTATCCAAGGCTTAGGCATCCCTGGTTTCCATGGTGGAATGTCCTTGCACCATTCATACGAAACTTTATACCATGTGTTTGTGACAGCCTTCCATTCATCCTTGTAGAGATCCAAGTTGAAGAGTGCAGAATGAATGAAGTATCTTTTGCTGAGAGCATCAAGATCTGGCCCACGTCGTCTTCAAAGAAAGGTGACAGATGTGTCACTAAAGTGCATCAGTTTGCATGGGGTCACCCAACGATACCCACGTAGCATGAGTGTCATAGCCTTTTCTTCGTCTGAGAGACCAGATGAACTTGCTTCTTGATTGCACTTGTACATGAAGTTCTGATAGAACTTTTTAGCATCATCTTTAGTGTATTGTAGTGCTCTGGCAGGGTCCTGTTGCTTGTCCAATTTTACTCCTTTATAGTAGTGAACCTCAACCCTTGATGGTTTGGGCATTGGTCCTAGATGTAGTGCAGGGTCCTTCATTTTATTCA